CACGCATGGTGCCTTGACTTACTACTAGATTTAATGGGCCACCCCGGAATAAAATAGTTCCTCCCAAAGTGAGGAACATATGTTTTAGTATGTTTACAAGAAATATATTCCAAACAATATCCTCATTAGATGAGAAGATCTTTTACAGAATTACCTCAGTAAGTCAATTACAATGACAGAGCGTCGTAATACATTTACATCAAGTACAATACGTCAAAATGGCCGACACGATAAACGTGACGGGAGATATTTTCGAAGTTGTTACTTAACCTGTGGCTATTTCAAGCCTGTGGCATCACTGATCAATTGGCCGATCATTGAAAGGTGATTGTGAAGATGTGTCAAATAGATACTAAGGTAAATTCATAGATTTCTGTAAATTGTCACTGCGACAGTTTGGATTTTTTTCCGTGTTTTTTCTCTCTGGGAAGGGTTGTAGCGAGGGTATCCTTAAATGGGCTTGCAACCACGCTTCTGTATGAATTCGTACCAGGGAATTCCAAGGGTTTTCCCCAGGAATGTGGAAGTAGTCAGTGTTTAGGCCTTTTCAAGAATACAGTCACGTGAAGAACGTCATGAGACCGACCTCGCGTCCAAGTCGTATATCTTGTAAACTTCACATTAAAAAAATGGTTATTGTTATAACCAAATGAAACACAACCCATTATCCGATAGGGGTAACTGTACATAGCCGTTACCACAATAAACTTAGTAACATTGTTTGGTTTGACTTCTTGGCGCGTGTCTGAATTCCATTAACATGTAACATATCCTAAAACTAGCTTATCAGCAAATCTCGCTGCACTGCGCGCGACAGATACTAGAGCAAGGCATGCCAGAAATACGAAACCTAAAGCTTCCGAAAGGAAGCCTTGGACATCACGTGCGTCGGGGGACCAGCGCCATCTGATTGGCCGTTAACAGTTGTACAAGGCGGAGCAAAAAGCATCGTTTTTCCGTCCATTTTACGCTTGAAAAACTCGACCCTTTTCTGGACACTTTCTAGACGCTGACCAATTAATCAGTTTTAATGAATTTTTAGTCGTTTTTCCGTCCAATGACCATATACGGAAAAAAACGACGTTTTCGTGTTTGCAGTGTCACTGGATTGTCTGGTCCAGACTCGATTATTTACAGACCGCCGTCACATAGCTGGAATATTGCTTAGTGCGGCGTTAAACAACAAACAAACAAACAAACATGACCCTTCTTGACATAACTCATGATCATATTGCGTGTTTTGGAGACATGTCACTGGTTAGTAACGGCATTTAAGGGATTTCCATAATTACACTGTTAGTACACGGATGTTCACCGCATGTCAGCGTGAACGGTCGTCACGTGTTTGAGAGATCGTTTAAGCTTCCCCACCTCACCAATTGCTGTAATTATGATGGAAGATCCATGATAGAGTTTACAGTTTAGTCTGTTGGCATAGCAACTTGAGGAAGAATGGGAAACTAGCTTTCTGTGGTAAATGGTTGCCGTGATCGATTTTATCCGTGAGTGATGGCTACCCAGACTGGGAATGACACCGCGAAGAACGTTTCTCTTAGGGATCGCCCCTGACGCATACTGGACACAGCTACGTGATAGATAGCAGTAAGTGGCCCTCACGCATGGAAAGACACGTGCCTGTGTTTGCAGCCGATGATACTAAGACCGCCTCCGTGGTCGACTGGCAGAGCGTCCGCTCGGAGAACGGAAGGTCAGGGGTTCGATCCCCGATCGCGTCATTCCAATAGACGTAAGGAGATGGTACTTGTTGTTACCCTGCCTGGTGCTCGGCATTTAGGGGATAAGACAAGGAATGGTCGGCTCGGAGTCAGTAAGATGTGTCTGAGAAGAGTATTAATGTTAAACTGCGGCATGGTATCTCGAAATCTAGTACAAGAGCACACACACACACACACACACACACACACACACACACACACACACACACACACACACACACCATGCAAGTGAAATAAACTTGGACGTGACGTTACACTCCATTTCACCTCATCCGATGACACTTAAACTTGTTGAAGTACCATCCTAAAATGTTACTGCAGAAAGTCTCTAAACACCTTTGCCGCGAGAAGATGGATATAAACATTTATTTATTCAACCGCTAATGTTTCCCAGAGATCATTATTCCTCATCCTCACCCACGGGTAACTTTTACATGCCTTCTCGCAGTGTGTCGATCTGGTCCTCGTTCCGCAAAGCGATGTTAGCACTCAGTTGATCGAAACTACCATACTTTAACACAGACTCACGAGTGAGTGAGTGAGTGAGTTGGGTTTAACGTCGCTATTAACAGTATTCCAGTTATATCAAAGCGTGTCAGCTTAATGTGGGAGGAAAGCCCGAAGTGATGCAGGTCTAAGACGTTTACCACTTCAGTGAAACCCACGAGCACGGGTATGGTGCTGACAAACCTAGAAACATAATCGGGGCGAACCGGGATTCGAACCCACAATCATAGGTTTCTGTCGTGCCCAAGGGACGCAACTCTGCACAGCGAATCGCGGCGCCTTAGACGACTGGGCCATCCGTGCCCCCCAGACTTACGACAGCCGTAGAGCTACGATCGTTTTGTGGAACGGGCCTAGGTTGATAACCCGGCTTTTGGCCTGCATGGATCAGACATGGATTATGTACAGGTTCCTGAGAACTGACTAGAATTGAGTAGTGGATGCCACAAGGTGTGACTCGGTGGATCGTGTGTCATCGTACTGCGATGGCGTTGATGGTTGCTAGGCAACAACCTGTTGCATAACCAAGATTCGATTATTTCTGTGCCGATATATAACTGGGAAAAGGCAAATTTGGCTTAAAACAAGCACCGTCAATGGCACGCAATCAGCAAAGTCACAGAGCTTGAAGCCCCGATCCCATCTGCGTTGGCGCTAACGTCAAGCATGAGGTATAAGGATTCCCCACAGGGTTTGACAAAAAATAAATAATTATGTTTTTAGAAGCAAGCGTTGAATGCATTGCGGATTCCAAATGAAAAGAGGTATGTGTTACTCCTTGTCGAAAAAAATGCATTGAAGAATTACTAAAATAATATTTTCTTCTCGAATAAAGCATAAACCCTCTTCCCCCCACTCTAATGAAGCTTTAATACTCAGCCACATGTTATGAGAGGTGAGGTGAAATGGGGTTGAACGTCGCGTTCAAGATTACTGCACTTATGTAGCGGTGTGTGTGTGTGTGTGTGTGTGTGTGTGTGTGTGTGTGTGTGTGTGTGCGTGCGTGCGTGCGTGCGTGCGTGCGTGCGTGCGTGCGTGCTCGCGCGCGCGTACCAGTCCGGACATGGCCCCACTCAGACACAGTGTGCTGACTCCGAGCCGCCCAGTCCTTGTTTTTAGCCCCTTCATGCCAAGTACAAGGCAGGGTAACATCAAGTACCATTTTGTAACGTAGCTTGGTAGGACGCGGCCAGGGCATCGAAGCACCAACCTCCGGGCTGACGCTCGCTCTGGACCACAGAGGCAGTTTAATTGTTATAGAAATACGGAATACCAGTGCATCATTCAGTTTACCAGGCGGTTTAACGAAGTAAAAGCGAATAAAATCAACTTACATGGAAGGTTAGCGAGAGAAATAACCCCCATTCGTTACTACAGAACGTCATGCAATCTTCCGGTGAAATCGAGCTAATAATTCGATATTTAAATACTATTACCAATTTGCGTGCACTATAATCAATTTGCATTTTGCAAGCTTCCTTTGAAATCAAATTTGAAATATCGACTGAAGTCGATTTCCTCAGTGAGTTATTTCAAATGTGATCGCTCTTGACTATTGTGTGCAAGGTGAGAGTGGTGGATAATGGGATGGCCATTGGGGGTGATATTGACTGTGTTTGAAACCTTACAATTCGGGATGGTGATTGAATGGAACCTCCTGCTGAACCCTTTTTGCACAAAGGAGACGTTTTAGTTAGTGAGATGTGTGCATATCCATGGGGATGCCTGATTAGAGTCATGTGGCTCCCAAACCTCCCTTCCTTGTCGGAGCCGACTAATGAAGACCCTTGGACCGTTCGCAAAGCGATCTCAGCGTCACGAACGCAATAAGTCTGTTAAAGTATGGGACGTTTCGATTGTCTTAGCTGTAGGATCTCTTTGTGGGACGGGACCTAGGTGGTGTATAATACAGGGCATCGTTACAAAAAGCGTGTTTAGCAGTACGACTGTCGTAAGTCGGTGTTAGAGTTTGGGAGTTGCAATAGTTGGAGCGCTTCAATCGCTTTGTGAAAGGGGCCCAGCTGGCTACAATGTCTGACCTTGCTGATGGTGTGCAATCGTGCCCCATTGTTGATCACTGTCGACCACTGGCTTACATACCACTATCATATATCTGTGACTTTTGCGTAAAACAACATTCACTCACTCTTTCGGATATGTGCCGATATATTTATCATTATCACTCTACTGGAAAGGATTGTTTTCAGGATGGACTGTAATGTACAGTCAACTACGGTTATAACGAACTCAAAGGGACCACTAATTTTAATTCGTTATACCGTAGTTCGTTATAAGCATTTGTACAACATATACAGTAGGTTAAAATGAACACGCTTATAACGAACTGACGGATATAACGAACTTACTTTTTGGTCCCGACTATTTGCTGTAGTTATGCTGTATATATGCTTATAACGAACTACGGTTATAACGAACTAAAATTAGTTGTCCCTTTGAGTTCGTTATAACCGTAGTCTACTGTACACACAAAATGGACGGGACCATGAAACAGTTCGTTATATCCGGAAGTTCGTCATAAGCGTGTTCGTTATAAACGTATTTACTGTTACAACTTCTGTGATGATTTGGTTCTCTGATTTCATCGGGAAGAAAGCTGCAAACATTCATTTGACACATTCGATTATAAGTGTATAAACTTAATCAAAGTCTATCACGCTGTATTGTAAGACTTAGTTCATTTAAGCATTGCCCAAGTCCTGTCGGGTACCCATCTAACTAACTGTTTCTCTATTCCAGACCACCATTCAAGATGTCAGCGCTTCAACGTTTCATCGGCAGGATAACGCGGACTAAAACCATCAACGACGACTTCCATGAGACATCTCTACGACGATGTCTCAACACCTTCGATATCACCATGCTTGGGATCGGTCACATGATCGGAGCAGGAATCTACGTACTAACCGGAACAGTCGTTCATAACAAAGCTGGACCCTCCGCCGTTCTCTCGTATCTCTTCGCCGGAGTAGCTGCGCTTCTTTCCGCTCTTTGTTACGCCGAGTTCGGAGCCAGGGTTCCAAAGGCCGGCTCGGCCTATTCCTACACTTACGTCACCGTTGGAGAAGTATGGGGCTTTGTGATTGGCTGGAATGTTGTCTTGGAGCACCTGATTGGCGCAGCGGCAGTAGCGCGTGCGTGGAGCGGCTCCATCGACTCATTGTTCGACGGCGCAATAAGGAACAGCACTATTGCCACGATCGGCTACATGGGCAAGGGTAACGATTGGATATCTGACTATCCTGACTTCCTCGCATGGGCGATAACTATAGTTGTGTTCATCATTGTAGGTACAGGAGCAAAGTTCTCCATTCATTTCAACAGCACCTTTACAATACTGAACGGGATTGTCATCGCCTTCATCATCTGTGCGGGGTTCTACTATGCCGACATCGACAACTGGACCAACACCAATAGAGGTGGATTCTTTCCTTTTGGCTTCGGTGGGACATTGGGTGGCGCTGCGTCCTGTTTTTTTGCATACATAGGATTTGAAGGGATCGCCGTCTCGGGAGAAGAAGCAAGGCACCCTGAGAAGTCGATACCGGTTGCTACAGCTATCGCCCTTGCTGTAGTCACGGTTCTCTATATGCTCGTCAGCATCAGTTTAACGTTGATGGTACCGTTTGACCAAACTGACCCGACTGCAGCCTTCCCGATGGCCTTCGCGTACAATGGAGCAACTTGGGCAAAATATATTGTTGCAATTGGAACTCTGTTCGGCATTACCACGTCCCTTCTTGGCGGGGCCTTCTCACTGCCACGGTCAGTTTACGCAATGGCTGATGACGGACTACTTTTCTCCATATTTGCACGTGTTCATCCGCGCTCCCAAACCCCAGTTTGGTCTATAGCGGTGTTCGGCTTTCTAGCAGCCTTAGGAGCCTTGTTATTCGAGATTGAAACCCTTGTCGAGTTTATGTCCATAGGTACTCTTCTAGCCTACACTATAGTTGCTGCTAGCATAATTATTCTAAGATATCAGCCAGTTACAAAATGTCAGTTTAAATTGAAACCCGAGGAGGTTCCTCAAGAAGAAGATGCGATGTCAGAGAAGAGTGTTATCATGAAGAAATCCAAAAGCCATGATGATTTCGGGAAGTTAAGATCAAGTCTCAAGGAGCTTCCAATCCTACGCGGATTTGAGCCAGGGAGCTGCGTCACCATGGCAACCGTTCTGATGGGCGTGCTAATCACGTGTCTTTGTGTGACGTGCATATATGGCTTCCCTTATTTGACTGGCGCCACCTGGTGGATAATTGTCCTCATCATTCTGTTCGTGGGTGGGATCGTGTTTTTCTACCTTGTCATTATTGCGCATGAGCAGAACGACGCTTTCATGACATTCCAGGTACGGTAGCTCATTTGTGAATTACAAATACAGAACATATAACGCTTATCCAGTTATCTGATTGTTAATTGCTTTGAATAAAATTACTCAGTCCCCTTTGGTATCGAGACATAGAGTAAATTCGTACGCAGTGCAAACACGTGAGATTCCGGGGTAGAATAGGTCTTCAGCAACCCATGCTTGCCGTAAAAGGTGACTATGCTTGCCGTAAAAGGTGACTATGCTTGTCGTAAAAGGCGACTAACGGGATCGGGTGGTCAGGCTCGCTGACTTGGTTAATGCATGTCATCGACCCCAATTGCGTGGATTGATGCTCATGATATTAATCACTGGATTGTCTGGTCCAGACTCGATTATTTACAGACCGCCGCCATATAGCTGTAATATTGCTGAGTGCGGCGTTAAACAACAAACCAACCAACCAACCAACAAACAAACACGTTAATTTGAACGTCACCGTTTCTAGTAAATTACCCAGATTAAGGAATTCCGAAATAATGATTCGGGGGTACGGATTATCCGTAAAGACGTTACAAAAATAATTTTCTGGAAGGAGTGAATTTCGGATTAACGGTTCTTCGCTGTATCATGTGTCGTAAATAGCAATAACTAACTCTAACCAGAAGCAAGAATTATACCCATAACTCTTGGGATATCTTCAGATATGACTGTGTTTATCTTCATATAAGAAAACCAAAAATAATATCACTGAACAAAAACGACGCAAATGTGATTTATGTACAAAACTAATCCTATCGCAATAAAAGACCACTTTTGGGGCAGACATTGACACATTATCAAGAAAAGCTCCTAATTTGAGAAAAATGTACTTTTCAGATTCCCTTGGTGCCGTTGCTGCCGTCGCTGTCGATGTGCTTTAACGTCGCCCTCATGTTCTCTCTGTCGTATCTCACGTGGATTCGTCTTGCCATCTGGATGGCAGTAGGTGAGTTGTTTGTGAGCAGCACTGTACTTACCAGCCTCGCTGATGCCCTGTGAGAGGTTCTTTTTTCACTGTAAGGGTTGTCGATCAATACTAACGTGATGAATTCGGGACTGTTAATTTAACCTAGTACTGACAGAAATCTGAATTAGTCCGATGGCGGCATCCGTCCAATTCAACTTTAAATGAATCACTATACCTATCACAATCTCCCCAAATGCTTAAACACAATGAATCCGAAGTGATTCCGGCTTAGCATTGGTCTCCATCAACCTGTGCTGGTCAAAAGAGGATCAAAGGGATCGGGTGGCCTCGTGCATGGTCAGGCACGGACACATGGCTGATGACCCGTGAAGATTCCGGGATAGAATAGGTCTTCAGCAACCCATGCTTGCCGTAAAAGGCGACTATGCTTGTCGTAAAAGGCGACTAACGGGATCGGGTGGTCAGTCTCGCTGACTTGGTTGATACATGTCATCGATCCCAATTGCGTGGATCGATGCTCATGATGTCAATCACTGGATTGTCTGGTCCAGACTCGATTATTTTACAGACCGCCGTCATGTAGCTGGAATATTGCTGAGTGCGGCGTTAAACAACAAACAAACAAACAAACACATGGCTGATGGCATGTCATGGTGCCCCGAGGGCGTGGCTCGTTGTTCACAATATCAATCATTGGGTTGTCTGGTCCAGATTCGATTATGTGCGTGCGTGCGTGCGTGCGTGCGTGCTTGCGTGCGTGTTTGGTTTAACGCCTCACTCTGCAATATTCGAGCTATACGACAGCGCTCTGCAAGTATTTGAGTCTGGACACGAACATACACAATCACGTACACACAAACGAACACACAAAATCGAATCTGGACCAGACAATTCAGTGATTAGTGTTGTCAGCAACGATCCAAGCCGTCAGGGTACGATGACATGCAATAAAAAAGTCCCGAAGCCTGCGAACCCGATCTATTAAGCCACCTCTTACGATCAGCATAGGTTGCTGGGGACCAATTGGAACTCGGACTCTCCCCGGGGCTCGTTGTATTAACAAATTTAGGATGTTCATAATGCTACCTGATTAATACTCCACTTGAAACAGGGGGCACGGGTGGCCCAGTCGTCTAAGGCGCCGCGATTCGCTGTGCAGAGTTGCGTCCCTTGGGCACGCCAGAAACCTATGATTGTGAGTTCGAATCCTGGTTCGCCCCGATTATGTTTCTAGGTTTGTCAGCACCATACCCGTGCTCGTGGGTTACGCCGAAGTGGTAAACGTCTTAGACCTGCATCACTTCGGGCTTTCCTCCCACATTAAGCTGACACGCCGTGATATAACTGAAATAATGTTAAAAGCGGCGTTAAACCCAACTCACTCACTCACTCACTCCACTTGAAACACAGCAGGATACCACCACCATATATAATGGGATGTTTCTCTCCAGGTCTGGTGGTATACTTCGCCTACGGCATGCACAACAGTCGGGAGAACAAGTCTGAGACGGGCTACGGCCCCATGGTGGAATACACGGGGGACGCCGCCTTGGGGGCGGGGACATCCATCACCCGCCTGGACGAGGAGATCAAAGAACAACAGCCACCCAGGAGAGATGAGGGGCTGCCCGCGGACTACTGAGGGAGGGGAGGGCTGAAAGTGGGTGGGGCTGAGAGTCAGACATAGGTTTCAGGGGTCAATAGGTAACCTTGTTGTCAAATGCGTTCGCTCGCCACCGGGTTCGATTCTCCACATGGGCACATTGTGTGAATCCATTTTCGGTACTCCCGACATGATATGGCTGAAAAACCATTCTCACTCAGTTTTTGAGTAGGATGTTGGGTAGCTCAGTTGATCAGGTGTTCTCTCGCCGACCGTGGTGTTTACACTACATTACTGAAACCATACTTGCTGGGTACGTGTGGATTGAGTTGAGATCGAGGAGTGAAGGGCCAACGCAAGACACAATTTATACAACATTAACTTCATATACATTAACGTCAATATTGAGCGGTACGCATCTTCCCGAGGCAAGGTTGTTAACTGACTATAAAAGTCCTGTTCCCAAAACTGCCGAACAAAGCTGGAATTTCCGGGCTCGATCGTAGCGCCACTAGTGGCTATTACGAGTTATGTCCCTTATATGTCCCTCCTATTGACCAATCAGATTCCATCACTCATTTCACTTGCATTTGCTTCAAACAAAATGGCAGCGCACAGTCAAAATGATTAGATCGATAATCAAGATCAGTATTGTAATAAAACGGGTCTTAACCCGCGAAGTGCATCAAATCACTTGAGCACCGTGATTAATAACATGAAAAGATTTGCAAAATATATGTCGACGCCCTGTTGACGGGACACATGTTTTGCAAATCCTGCAGTCCACCGAAATCCGCGCGTTGAAATCCATGATGATTACGGACCGGATGTCGAGTTCGTTACGCAATTTTGATTGGACAATGCGTTGACTCGTTTGTCCAACCAAATTGTAACTCCTGAACGGAATTCCAGCCTAGTTCGGCAAGGTTGGGAACTGGACTTTTATCGTCAGTTAACGCCCTTGCTTCGGGAAGATGAGCGATACGGGTAGAGGAAGGAGGGTGGGGTGGGTGGGGTGGTGGTGTAAATAGCAGGGGGGGGGGGGGGCATGTACTGGAAAAGGGTAGTAGAAGATGAATCGGGAAAATGGGACCGGGGGCGTTGGTTGGGGTGTATTCGATTTCCTATAAAGACGAACGTGCAATTCCCAAAGATCAGTATCACGGTACTAACGGGAAATATGATGGCAAATTATTATAAAAACATTAATGTTCTCTTTATATTTTCATGTGTAAACAGTACAATATATATTTTTGTCAAAAGCATAACAATCGAATGCTTAAGTACGATGAAGCGCTATTTTGATATAGACTGTTAGTTTCAGAAGTATATTCTCCTATTGTTTGTACCAGTATACTGATATATTGTACAGTGTATCATAGACTGTTATGTTATAGTTCATGTCCAGATACGCTGAACTCTCGTTAAGTCGAAGTCCTGTGGACCGCCAAATATACCTCGGGTTATCCGCTGTTCAACACAAGCGGAGTGACGATATTAAACCGAAATGGTGATATACCGAGATAAGAGTTCGGGTTAACGAGGTTTTGCTGTATTATTTACTCGTTTAATTTATGATTGTGATATTTTGGTAGTGAGACATATTGGCATGTTAGTTATTGTTGATAGCTGCAAACTGAATATTATCTAAGGGGATATATTATATCCGTGGGTTTCACCAAAGTTTGAGCCTTGCATCACTTCTGGTTTGTCTTCCCACACAAACCTGACGCGCAGTGGTATAACTGGAAAACTGTTCAAAGAGGCGTTAAAAACCAACTCACTCACTCTACGGGGACAGGTGTCAATATATTTTGTCACTTGCATGTTCCTTCTTTCATTTTAGTTTTTATCATGTTATCATTTATCGATTTCCGTAACGGAGGTAATGCACTGAAACTAACCCTTTGGACAGCGGTTAAAACAGGATACCAGATCAACAAGTTTCACGATTAACGAATATGGTATCTGTTATTGGGGTTCTGTCGAATCAAACGAACCCAAAAATAGAAATATAAAGTACACATGCGTTCATCAATATTATACCAATTTTTAAACATACATTTCAAACGTACATTAAAACACTGTTGTGTCGAAGTTAAAAGGGATCTACGAGTTATCCGAGGTTTGACAACAGAATAGAATGAATACAGTAGGAATATGCAGGAACTGAGCTTTTACTTCGAGATAACCGTAAATACAAGACATCAAAGTTCGACACAACAGTGTTCAACTGTAACTCAAACGTCAAAGTTTTGTTGCATAATTAAACTGTACCAATGTTTAGGTGGACGGAGGGTTGGTCTCATAATTTAAAAAGTTTGAGGTTTTTTTAAACATGGAATTAAAACAATTTAAAAAAAAAATAACATGCTGCCTGATGATGCGAGTGTTCTCCCAATGTGGTAACGTGTATCTTAGTTACATTCCAACTAATGAAGGACGGCAGTGAAAGGAACACATATTTCAAGGTGTGACTTTGTGGTTTACTGAAAAAATATACAATCGAATTCAGAGGATCTAGGACCATCGTGGTCAGTGATGCGTTGTCGCTTGACCAATGGCTTGCTCTTTACAGTCCCTCGTTATTGTTAATTGTATGTGCACACACGTACTTGTTTCTCGCTTATATAAAATTGCTATTAGCGGGAACCGTCTGGATGATTAAAATCCGGGCATAGAGAGTTCTACTAACGGTATATCTGTAAACAGTTGTCTGTCAAAGAGACCCTCGGAAACAAATATTCCCAATATAACCCACGCAATTGTATAACAGTTGGCAAGTCTAGATTACTGCAGTTTCTGAAAATGAAGATGAAAATGAAGTTTCTCTGGGTTTCTTTTCTTATATGTTATTAAGATAATATAGCAACGGTTATTTCTGTAAAACATTTTCATTTCAGTGACCAGATGTAAGTATAACACAACAGGTGAGATCACGCGAAGGATACGGTAACCTTGAATTCTACCAAATTACACGAGCGGGAAAATAACGTTCATTTCCTACTTGTGGTATAAAAGCACTATAACATGTGATAATGTTTGCACTGGTGTAGAGTTTAATGATTGACATTGATGTGGATGTTTTATCGTGTGGCTGTAACGTTTGTACTTATAACCATCGCCATATGTCCTATGTCTCGGGTTAAACAATAGGTGCCAGGTGGAACAGGATGTCTATTTGTGAGCACAGCCGGTGCGATAGAATCATCATTGAAGTGCGAATTCGGAAACGAACGCTACAAGGCGGTACTTGAGGTCGTAGGCCGCAACAAACAAAGATTTATAATGACCTGCTCATTTGATTTGCATTTTGAGATGGAAATAATTTTCCCCATTCTATCGTACTTTAACAGGCGAGAAGGAAAGAAGCTTGCCAGTATAAGAAAGGAGAACATGTCCAATAATATTCATGCTAGCTTTCTGTAAGTTTAAAATTTAATATTTCCATTGGCCAAAGAGACCCTCCTCCCTGGGGGTTATTTCCTTTGCTGAGTTGCAGCGGGTGCTGGGTAATATATCATCTAGATTCATATGATCATCATGCTATGAACATATTGCCGTTGTGATGTTATCGATCAGCTGCAACATATGGACGTATATTGTGTGGCCAAGTCGACTAAGTCACCTCAATTCTCTGTGACGTCACTCGTCCCTTGTTCGGGGGCACGGATGGCCCAGTCGTCTAAGGCTCCGCGATTCGCTGTGCAGAGTTGCGTCCCTTGGACACGCCAGAAACCTTTGATTGTGGGTTCGAATCCCGGTTCACACCGATTATGTTTCTAGGTTTGTCAGCACCATACCCGTGCTCGTGGGTTTCACCGAAGTGGTAAACGTCTGAGACCTGCATCACTTCGGGCTTTCCTCCCACATTAAGCTGACACGCTTTGATATAACTGGAATACTGTTAAAAGCGGCGTTAAACCCAACTCACTCACTCGTCCCTTGTTCAGACGCAAAGAACTATTCTGTTTCAAAAAAAAAAGTAAGAAAAAATATGTATTATTAATTACATATTACATATTATTCGTTACTGTTTGACTTATTTTTTTAATTGTTTAATGTACGAGAATACATCGTTGGTGACTGCGGACCACTTTTACCATCTCCCAAATATTAAAATGATGATTTTAAAGGAAATCTGTCAATTTCGATGTACTGAATGTGTCCGAAACAAGTAATCGAACAGTGTAATTATTTGGCAAGGGAGAATCAATATAAACACAACATAATCGAAACGCTGACACTCTCATAATTATTTTTTAAAACGAGTTGGTTTTCGTGTAACAGATTCCACTCGCTTTTGGTGCATGGCATGTTGTCACCGTACCCGTAGTCGTTAGCTGCACCGAAGCTGTAAACATCGACGACCTGTGTCACGGCGCGATATATACTCCTCAAAACAAGTTGAAGAACACCCACAACCAGAAGGATGAGTTTTGTAAACCCACCAACCATGACAGATTAACAATCGTCATATGAAAAAATCGGTGTTCTTTAACTTCTTGCGAGTACCTATATCTGTAATATTGTACAAAGTGACGTTAAACAAACCACGCTCACTCGTTCAAAACTGATCATATTTAATCATTCTCGGCATATATGTTTCCCTACATATCCTTGTTTGCCCCGTGAAGATTCCGGGGTAGAATAGGTCTTCAGCAACACATACTTGCCGTAAAAGGCGACTATGCTTGTCGTAAAAGGCGACAAACGGGATCGGGTGGTCAGGCTCGCTGACTTGGTTGATACATGTCATCGATCCCAATTGCGTGGATCGATGCTCATGATGTCAATCACTGGATTGTCTGGTCTAGACAAGACTATGTTACAGACCCTCCGTCATATAGCTGGAATATTGCTGAGTGCGGCGTTAAACAACAAACCAACCAACCAACCAACCAACCAACCGTGTATTTGCCCCGTGCTTGAAGGGCAGGGAGACCAGTAAGGTTGCCAGAACCCACTGCTCTGATAGCAATGTTACCTAAGTCAAACACAAACGAAAACACGGTTGTGTAACTGACGCACGAATGGTTCGAGAAAAAATCTGTAATGTCATATATATTTGTAAGTATTAGTGTAAAAATAAACGTTTGCGTTAGGTTGATTACAATGTAGTGTGTTGAGGTAACGATTCCGATATTTTTATAATTAGATATATTACCATTAAGATGAAAGGGGCATTCGTGATCAAAGTGTTCCAAAGGATTGCACGCCGCTGTCCCGCTGAGTCGTGTCCCTTTTGCTAGCAGGATCTGCTGGTCGAGGGTTCGAATCCTTGTTTGTCAGTACTGTACCCATACTCGTAGGGTTCACCCATGTATATTTCGCCAGTGTGTTCAGTATTATTTGAAATATTAATATGACGAGAATGTACTCTACATCCTTGTTTTCAAGTGAGAACAATGTATCCACCACACATAAGAATTATGTTTGTTCAAATAAAATTATCTTTGCTTATTTCCAAAATGAATAGGAACAGACACACACACACACACACACACACACACACACACACACACACACACACACAAACACACACACGGTGCTC